GAAAAAGACTTGGTTGATGAGTATAAAGAGAGGGATAAATGGTATCAGGGCTGGCTCCAGATTTGTGATATGCACAGGTGAATAAATACGCGCATTCACTAAGTGCCCATAAACGGGTGCCTTTAGCAAAGATAGAGATCACTTAAAGGAGCACCAAAGGGAAAAGAGGTTAAGATGAGGAGTACCATTTTGGAAGTGTTCAGATTTAGGTACCTGTGAGATTACTATAAGGAGTTGTTGATTAGGCCGCTGTTCAGAGAAAAGATCTGGACTGGAAAGGCAAATATGAAAATAATCCTTGTATACGGTCTATTTTATTTTGGAAGTGTTCAATTTGAGGTACCTGTGAGATTATTAAAAGGAGTTGTTGAGTAGGCAGCTGTTTTTGAATTTAAAACTCAAGGCCGGGTGTGGTGGCTCACGCTTGTAATCCCAACCTTTGGGAGGTCGAGGCAGGCGGATCACGAGGTCAAGAGATCGATACCATCCTGGCTAACATGGTGAAATCCCATCTCTACTAAAAATACAAAAATTGGCGGGCACCCGTAATCCCAGCTACTGGGGAGGCTAAGCCGGGAAAATTGCTTGAACCCGAAAGGCGGAGATTGCAGTGAGCCGAGATCGCACCATTGCATTCCAGCCTGGGTGACAGAGGGGGATTCCGTCTCAAAAAAGAAAAAATTAACCTGCCCAAAATCCTCTTTGTGCTGAGGTTGAGAAACCCTGCTCTAATACACCAAGTATGTTCCCCCCTAGGAACTTTGCACTCACTGATCCCTCTACCTGAATGCACTTTCCCTAGATAATTACATGGTTTGCTTCCTAGCTTCCTGCTCAAATGTTACCTTACAGAGAAGCCTTCCCTGGCTACCCTGTGTAAAATATTCCCCAGTCAATCTCCTACCCACTAGAATGTAAGCTCCATGGGAGCTGGACCTTTGTTTCATTCTTCATTGTATCCTGAGCACATGGTAGGTAAGCAGTCATTAAATATTTACCTATTAATGAATGCATTAACATTGCATCATTTTATACTATCAGCAGACAGTTCCCAATTTCTTATATCTTGGCTGTACTGGATATATTTTATTATTTGCCAAAATTTGGAAGATGAAAATTTGATTTTTGTGGAATTTCATTTTATTCATCCTATTTGGAATTTTTTTCTTTGAGATGGAATCTTGCTCTGTCACCCAAGCTAGATTAGAGTGCAGTGGCAGGATCTCAGCTGAGTCGTTGGGATGACAGGTGCACACTACACCCGGCTAATTTTTTTTTTTATTTTTAGTAGAGACAGGGTTTCACCATGTTGGCCAGGCTGGTCCCCAACTCCTGACCTCAAGTGATCTGCCCACCTTGGCCTCCCAAAGTGCTGGGATTACAGGCGTGAGCCATTGCGACTGGCCTTTTTTTTGGTTTTCAATGTGTAACAACAATTTTTTTTCCGAGACAGAGTTTTGCTCTTGTTGCCTGAGCTCAGAGTGCAGTCAGTGGCACCATCTTGGCTCACTGCAACCTCTACCTCCCAGATTCAAATGATTCTCCTGCCTCAGCCTTCCAAGTAGTTGGGATTACAAGCACCCACCAACATGCCCAGCTAATTTTTGTATTTTTAGTAGAGACGGGGTTTCACCATGTTGGTCAGGCTAGTCTTGTCGAACTCCTGACCTCATGATCCGCCAGCTTCAGCCTTCCAAAGTGCTGGGATTACAGATGAACGAGCTTTTTTTTTTTAATACAGAGCCTCTCATACAAACTATTATTCTTGTAGCTTCTTTTCAAATACCCTGATTATCTGATGGTAGAATACAAATTGAAATTATTATGAAATACAGTTTTAGGCCAAGCACAGTGGCTCATACCTGTAATCTCGGCACTTTGGGGGGCCAAGGCAAGAGGATCACTTGAGCCCAGGAGTTCAGCCAGCCTGAACATGAGAAGACCAAAAAAATTAAAGAAGAAAAATAGCTGGGCATGGTGGCACACACCTGTTGTCCCAGCTACTTGAGAGGTTGAAGTGGAAGGATCACTTGAGTGTCAAGAGTTTGAGGGTGTAGTGAGCTGTGATCATGCCACTTCACTCTAGTCTGGGCCACAGAGCAAGACCCTGTCTCAAAAAGAGAAAAGTTTGTCCCAGAAACCTCATCAATTTGAAGTACTCCAGTGATCCAGATCACTCCTTGTCCCTGTGCTACACAGTGCCAACAGATTAATGCATCAGCTGCACATGCATGACGATCTAGTGGCTGGACAACTGGTTAGCTGGAATGTCTCAGAAGGAAGGTTGGGTTAGATGCCCTTCTAGGTGCTTTCCTTAATGTCTACAACTAAATTATGAAGAATTATCCAGCACCAATGTTCTGAACTAATCATTTCGTTTTACCTATTTTCTATAAATTCATTGCCTTTAAAGCTATCTTCGGTAACTTGAGAATAAGGCAGAATATGTACTATTTTACATCAAGTTGGAGTGCCTAGCTACAATTTTGCCCCTCAATTCATTGTGGAAGACTAGGTTCTGGAAATTACTCTGGTTGGTGTTGAAGACAGACTGATACATGTCAGATTTCATCTGTGATTCATGGTATAAGACTTCAGTTTTATTTCATCTGTCCTCCTTCAGAGATGTTGCCCTGGCACCAGCCACTGCAAGATAAAAATAATGAATCATTCATTACAGGTATGAAACAACTGAAAGTTTAATGAGTGTGTCTAACTGTTAATCAACATTTTGGAGACCAGTTATGACAGTTACTAAATTATTTGACACAACTCAAATGTTAACAGCAGAGCACTTTATCACAAACTAACATTCACCCTGGAATGTACTGTACAGTCAACCTCTTCCCTCTATCTCTCCATTTCTGGGCCTTTCATCTTTGACAGTCTGGCACTGTTGCCCAGACTGGAGTGCAGTGGCTCGATTTCCACTGACTGCAACCTCTGTCTGCCTGGTTCAAGCGATTCTCCTCCCTCAGGCTCTGGTGTAGATAGGATTACAGGCACGCGCCACCATGCCCAGCTAATTTTTTGTTTTTAGTAGAGACCGGGTTTCACTGTTTTGGTCAGGCTGGTTTTGAACTCCTGACTTTGTGATCCATCCACCTCGGCCTCTGAAAGTGCTGGGATTACAATTGAGTCACTGCACCCCACATAGAAGTTTATGTTGCCCAGGCTGCAGTGCAGTGACAATTTATAGGCCCAGCATGCTTTGAAAAGCCTGGTTTGAGGCAATCCTTCTGCCTCAGCCTCCCAAGTAGCTAGGACTACAGGTGTGCTCCATCACTTCCCTGGCTCAAGGGATCCTCCTGCCTCAGCCTCCTGGGTAGCTGCGACAACAAATATGTCACAACACCTGGACAACCTGGGGTCTACCTTTATAAGATGGATATTTAGTGATTTGTTCTCAGCAAATTGATATCCTCATGTTTGAAGAAATTCTCTCGAATCCCTTTTTCCATACCCTCCATTTTCTTTGTTCTATTTGGAACTCAGGTTTACTTATGAAGTGCTCCTCAAATTTTTAGTTTGTATTTTATATCCCTTTCTCTTTTTACTCTATTTTTGGAAGATTTAACTATTGCTGCTATTCTCTTATTTCCAATTTTTTTTAATCTTAATGTATCTATATTGTATTATTTCTTGGTTGGAAAAATCTTTTCTAAGGGTACTGGTGACAATTTTTTGGTTTTGCATGTTTATTTTCTTGCCTGTGCAGTCTGTTTTTAAGTTGCTTTTATTTGTTTATTTCCATTTTACAATTCATGAGACTGCCCTCAGATGTCTGGAAATCATTATTTGTCCATTTACACACACGTTATATAAAATATAGAGAGCCAGGCGCGGTGGCTCAAGCCTGTAATCCCAGCACTTTGGGAGGCCGAGGCGGGTGGATCACGAGGTCAAGAGATCGAGACCATCCTGGTCAACATGGTGAAACCCCCGTCTCTACTAAAAATACAGAAAATCAGCTGGGCATGGTGGCGCGTGCCTGTAATCCCAGCTGCTCAGGAGGCTGAGGCAGGAGAATTGCCTGAACTCAGGAGGCGGAGGTTGCGGTGAGCCGATATCGCGCCATTGCACTCCAGCCTGGGTAACGAGCGAAACTCCGTCTCAAAAAAAAAAAAAAAAAATACAAAAATTAGCTGGGTGCAGTGGCACATGCCTATAATCCCAGCTGCTCCGGAGCCTAAGGCAGGAGAATTGCTTGTGCCCAGGAGGCAGAGGCTGCAGTGAGCTGAGATCGCACCACTGCACTCCAGCCTGAGGAACAGGGCGAGACTCTGTCTCAAAAAATAAAAAAAGTTACACACACACACACACACACACGAAAGAGACAGAATGTCACTCTGGCTGGAGTGCAGTGGCACAATCTCAGCTCACTGAAACCTCCGCCTCCTGGGTTCAAGCGATTCTCCTGCCTATCTCCCAAGTAGCTGGGATTATAGGTGTGCACCACCACACTCAGCTAAATTTTGTATTTTTAGTAGGGACAGTGTTTCACCACGATGGCCAGGCTGGTCTTGAACTCCTGAACTCAATCTGCCCACCTCGGCCTCCCAAAGTGCTGGGATTATAGGTGTGAGCTACCAAGCCTGGCCCCCACTCACCCTTTTTAGAAGACTCATGGCTACTTATTTACATTTTACTTACATTTTATAATAATACAACGAATACTTGTACCAGGTTATATCTGTGTTCTCATTCTAAGGCTAATGTGTATTCTTTGTTACACTTAGATGCTAACTAGAGTTAGACAAGTGCCCTGTAATCCCAAATAAAGGTAAAATAAGTCAAAATGTCACAGGAGTAATTTGTTTCTTGAGAACAAAAGGAGCATGCTCATATTACACACCTGCTGCCTTTACTAGTAACAATAACAGTAGAAATTTACTTGTAAATCAATGTGTCAAACTTCATTTAAAATGTTACTTGATGCTTAAACACAAATATCCACTATCATCAATATATGAATAAATCTGAGTCGATAAAGGAAAAAATAAATGTAAACCAAGTTTATTTTGCTTTTTAAGTAGTGTTCTTAAAGCACTACAGCTTGGTAAACAATGTAAATTAGTATAAGTCATCTCAAAAGCCAGTTGTTTTGTTTTGTTTTTTAATGAGTTGTTAAAAAGATGCAGCCTATTCTAACAGGATAAATATTTTTAACCATTTCACTTCGAGTTAATGAAGGCTCACAAATGAGCAACACTCCTCATTGAGGAAAACAAAAAGCTGTTGTCGACAAGCGACAGCACACACACACAAAAACAAAAAGAACTGTGTAAAAATAACTAACTGTGTTCCCATATTTTTGAAGTCGCTTTACAATGGGATGATATGCACATGATCTTGCTGCAAACTTGCCAAAGAGACTTTTAATACATGTAGTCTAGACAAACGATTCAGTCCAAGAGTTGCTAACTTCAGACAATGCAGCACTATAATCCTTTAAACAACGCAATTTGTTTTACTCATTATCTTTTCTTCTAGACTGAAATAGGCTAGAAAGAAAATGCTCCCTAATTAAAAATTGGTATTGTTTACAGGAAAAAATGTGTAATTTTGCATTAGAATTTACAAGTCTATGTTCAAATCGAATTTGCCTCCTCCCCCCAGCCCAGCCACAAAAATGGGCATGAAGTAAAATTTTTAAAAATGCCTTAATTTTCAACTTCATGCAAACTAAATAAAGACGACCAAAACAAAAGCTTAAACAATGGAAGGATATTTCACAGAAAAGTTCTTATACAAAAAACACATAAGAAAAAGGGCCACTAGGTGACATTTTAATTTACAAATTGGCATCATTTTGGTCGACAAATACCCACATGCTGTTTTCCTCTGCCAATAAGAGTTGCAGAGAAAAAAAAACAGCATGAATTTTGATTTTAATCACACATCTCTTCTGGAATCTCATGTGGATTAAAGATGCCAGGGACAGACATTTGACGTTTATGTTTCTCTTCGTCAGCCTGACGTAAGGCTATTTCTCTTTCTTCCAAAAACAAATCAGAAGTGTCTTCACCTGCAAACTCCTGTGAAAACAGACAGTTGAAATGTCAACGCAATAAACTTCAACTTGCCTTTGAAAAATAAAGAAATCATAGATGAGCTATTTCCTTTAAGAGAAGGAATATAAATTATCCATAAACTGGCAGGGTTTTTGGCTGGGCACGGTGGCTCACGCCTGATCCTAGCACTTTGGGAGGCCGAGGCGGGCAGATCACTTAAGGTCAGGAGTTTGAGACCAGCCTGGCCAAGATGGTGAAACCCTGTCTCTACTAAAA